GATTCCACTAGCAACGGATAAAATTATGTAATCCCTACCTTTCTAGCATCTCATCTCTTCACCACAGCAAATCATCGATCACCATGTAAAGAGATATCAGAAGCCTTAATAGAGCAGAGTTATTTCAAAGGTTGGTTTATAACACAAAAGAAAAAAGATCCAAAGATTGAAGCTGCTGAAGATTGTCTCCAGAGTCCATATAAAAAGAAGGCCCTTCAAGTGACAATGATTGCACAACAAATTCATATATTGGAAATATTCTTAACTTTTGAAACTTGGGTGAATTCAGCTTCATGCAATGTGGCTTAAAAGTCTCAATTAAGGATGCTTTTGAAAAGGTCTTCTAATGTGCTAACGAGAGGCATTCCAAAAATCAGATAGCTGCTTGAGAGGATTAGACTGATTTCCAAGGCAAGTGCCAAGAGTACACTCAAGTTCAAGTAGAAACTAAATGAAGATCGAGAGTGTGTTTGTAGATTATCATTCCATCAAATATCAGATTAATGCTGGAATAACCAATATAACCATTAGGAATATTCAATTTTTTCTAACCTTTAGAAACAGAAAGTAGGGCGCGGCGTTGGCTTACCGCAAAAATATACTGTAGCTGCTACAGTACCACGGAAAATTATTTTGCTCAAGGTGCCGAAATATCCTCATTTTCCTTTCTTATGCTTTATTTCATAATATCCCTAATTCCTTTGTAGTCATTTCTTATATATGTGTTGTGTTAGGATTTGGGAATCAAGTTTCTGTGTGTTTTGTATCGGGACAGCAGCAGACATCCTTCTTCCCTTCGAGAGCTGTTTCCTTGGGTTCCAAATTGTGCTTCGATTGTATTTTGATTTCCACATAGTGATTTATCATTCTCCCATCGCATCTCGCAGCTCTGCATTGTCCTTCCAGGACAGCAGCTACCCCCAGGAAAACAGCTTTTGCTGTTTTTTTCACTGCAGGCCTCCCATTGCAGCCCTTCTTGCTTGTAGCCCTCGTCCCGAAGACCTGCCCCTTGCTGCGCTGCAGCCCTCCAGCTATGCCACTTCGCTATCATCACCCAGAAAACAGTAAATTTATTGTTTTCCTATTGTCCCCTGGCTGTTCCAGCCTTTCTTACCGCGCCTCGCCGCTCCGCTCACCACCTCACCTGTTGCCCTTGCTGACCCAGCATTCCGCCTCGCTGCCAACGCAATTCTAGCCCCTCTGGCTGTCTCAACTACCAACAACCCTATTTCAGCCATCTACATTTGCTCCCTAGCCACCTAGCTGACCTCCACCACCCATGTGTCGAGCCCTAACATTCGTTTCGTATTTGTAGTAATTTCCTTTTCTAGTGTCTTGACTGTAACCGCCTATTTATTTTCGGTAACAATATATGTTTTTCTAATGTAGTTTGGGTTACAACTGGTATTATTTGGTATCAGAGCTAGCATAACCCTAGTCCTATTCTAGATTTTCGTAGCATCCGCCCCAACACAAGCCAACTCCAAAAAATTCCAAGCCAACTCCAAAAAATTCCAAGCCAACTCCAAAAAATTGTTTTTCCTACCACCTACCAAACCATAGCCAAATTTTGACCTAGCCCTAATTTCCTTTTGCTAATTTTTAAAATAAAAAACCCCAAATTAAATTTTCTACACCTTCAATTAGTCTAATGCCCCTTTCACCTCTCAACTCTAACCCCTAGCGATGCCATGCCACCAAGGAAAAGCATGCCCGAGACTACCCGGGAAAAGAAACAAGTGATCCACCGATTTGAGCAGAAGCTTGCGGACATTGAGGATGAAACCTAAAGGGAGATTACCCTCGACCGTGATCTGGAGAGTCGAAGGGGAGAACAGGAGAACATGAAAAAGAAGCAACAGATAAAATGCCAGCTCCTACAAGCTTACCATAAACATAAGGTTCACACTCTAGCTTAGAAGTGGAGAGACCATATCACTGAGCGGCAATCGCATCTTACAGGCGGTGCTCAACCTCGGGTCTTACAACCAGCTGGCACCCAAGAGAACATCCAAGTTGATCCCATTAGAACGAAAGTTGAGCTGAAATAGAGAACAGGTGAAACCAATCCGCATCCATAATTTGTCTTAGCCAGGAAGTGTTGCAAGTGCCACGGATTTGGGCATGTTGAATCAAATTGCACAGCCAGGTGGGGTGATCAGTTTCACTGGGCAACATTCTTGAAATAATGGGTAATGACACAGTAGATACTGAAGACGGTGATGACACAAAAGGGGAGGACCAGCTTTCAGTTGAGGAGGAAAAGATGCACATAGTTCCAACTGAGCCCGTGGGAGAGATTCCAACAAATGTCATGGTGAGCTTCCCAGGCAGTCCTGAGCATAAAGAACTGACACCAAAGGATGACAACCAAAGATAAAAGAAATCCATACCATTCAGATATATAGACTCCTTCCTAAATTGTCCCTACGGAGAGAGGTCTAGTACGACAGAAAAAGGGCCTTTTGTGTCACGTCGGGAAGAATATATAGATGTTAGATTCAATTTAGCAGTGCACCCACCATCAGATGTCGAGATAGAAGGGATGAACCCCCATCATTGAAATATGTTTATTAGGAGCTTAATGGGAAAGGAAATTCTTCAATGGGATCCAGGTCCTATCAGTGGAGAAGAGGTCTCTCCTGAGTGGTTGTTAGTGAGAGTGGTGCAACATGTCACAGATTTCACCCAAGGGTTGCTTTCTCCTCACATATTGATTTATTAACCACATAGATGGTTTCAGACTTCATGACTCGAGAGTTAACATTGCATGAACATACATCTATATGCAACTCCAAATCATGATGTGCCAAAAGAGAATGCATATTTATTCCATCAAGGTGTGTTGTGGAATGACAACACTAACATGATTAACCTACTGGATGATTACAATATCTTTGCAACCTTCAACATGGCAGACTTGACTCTGTGCTACAAGGAATTAGAAGCTTCAACGAATGAACTCGAAGCTTCCTAAATCTCAAAAAATTAACGCGGGAGCTTACCAGAAAAAAAAAATATATCTGTAGCTCCTACAATACCACGAAAAATGAGATCGTAGAAGGTACCGAAATAATCACGTATTACTTTCTTATGCTTTATTTCATATTATATTTAATTCCTTTATAGTCAATTTCTATATATGTGTTATATTAGGATTTGAAAGTCAGTTTTAAGTGTTTTTTGTATCGAGACAGCCGTTGGTGTTTTTTTTTCCCCTTCAAGGGTTGTATCCACGGGTTCCAAGTGATGTTTCGGTTGTATCTTGGTTTCCAGGTGGTGATTTATCCTTCCCTCATCACACCCAGACGCTCCATGTCATCCTTCCCTACTGCAGCCGCCCCCAGGACAGCAACTTTTGTTGTTTTTCACCACAGTCTTCTCATTCCAGCTCTTCTTGCTCGCGGCGCTCATCCAAGACAGCCTCCCATTCGTTGTCGTCATCCAAAAAACAATAAACCTATTATTTTCCTGTTGTCCCGTGGTTGTTCCAGCCTTTTCCTGCTGCGCCTCGCTGCTCCCTCACCACCTCCTCTGCTGCCCTTGCTTTCCCAGCATTTCGCTTTGCTGCCTGCGCGATTCCAAGCCCTCCTTTGGCTGTCCCAACCACCTACAACCGCATTTCAGCCATCTATCATTGCTCCCCAACCACCTAGCCGACCTCCACCACCCATAAGTCGAGCCCTAGTGTAAGTTCGTGTCATTTTTGTTGTAATTTCCCTTTCTAACATGTTTATTGTAACAACTTAGTTGTTTCTAGTAACAATATTTATTTTTCTATAATGATTTGGATGAACTCCGGTACCACAAAGATTTTCCTTAATAACATTTTGTATATCATCACACCACTACCAAATCTCCTAATCAAGGTTATAACTATTTTTAAACTCTTCTAAAATTTCTAAAACAAACTTCTTAATGAAACCAACAACATTATTCTGCATCAAATTTGGCTCAACAAAAGAAATCAATTTGCAAACTATCTTTAAATATGAACATATTTTTTGCATTTCAAATTCCACCACCTTATCATAGAGAGAAAATAATCATGAATAACTAGTACTCTGTGTTAATTGGTCCTAGGCAGCCTTTGTAATATTTGTAAAAGAATTTTTCTTTTCTTCTATAATGAAAAAGCCTTGATTTTCCACGTTTGCAAGTTATTAAGTGTTTTTTTCTCATTCCTGAAAATTATTGCTATTTAAGATACATACATTGAATAGGTAATTGAGGATAATTTTCTCTACTCTTTGCTTTGTGCAGTTTTTTTTAAATTTATTTATTAAGAAAAAACACCGCCAAAAGCTAATTGAATGCATTTGCTAAAGAAACTTATAAATGTCAGGCTACAAAAAACCGCTCTATAAACATGATTACATATAAAAAAAAACTTCTTAACAAATGAAACTTTTTTATGGTTGGGTGCACAAAATAATCAACAATAATAAGCTCCCGTGCTGCAATAGCTCATTTTGTTATTTATGACTTTATATTGAAGAATTTCACGTCGGTCTAGGTTAAAAATGACAAAGGTTACATGACGAGACTTACATAGAAGTAAAAAAGATGCAAAGATGAAAGGCACATTTTATAATAAGCCAGAAAAAAAGGGAGGATGGTGCTCCTAATTGGCAGGAAAAATAGAAGGGTGAGAGGATATTGTACCGAATTTGTGGATGAAACGGCGCATGTGTATTTGCTTGGGCAGGGGTATATTTTGGGTAGACCTCTCTTATTTGGCTAAATATAAAATTTGATGTTGCAATTTCCAGTTTCATTGGACTAGAAGTTTTAAGACAGAACAAAGATTAATTTAGAATGCCATTGATTCCCTGAATGAAAAATGCACTACAAAAATAGCTTGCTTATTGAAACTACAAATAGCACATGCAGTTGTTTTGAAGCAGTACAAGAATAAGAAAGAGCTAAAAGTGCATAAGGAACCACAATTGACTTGAGGACCATCAGGAAAATTGTTGATAAAATGGGTAGTATTTTACCAAAAGTGCCTGATTTTCTGGGTTTATGTCATCCAAAAATACTCTACGGTGCAGCCTCTCCTGCTCAATCTGAGTTTTTTTTGCCAAAATTTTGCGCATATCAGCTACAATGTTCTGAATAGTAAAGGGAAAAAAAATTTTTAACACTTCCCACTCAAGGGAGAATAAAAAGGAAAATTGAATTCTTAGAAATTAGTATAAACCAGTTATATAAGTAACGTTTATGAAACGCAAGGAGAATTTAGTGCAGTTCTTACACTAATTTTATTAGCATCCAAGTGGCTGATTGCAAGATGGGTTTTTATACGCCAATGAGTCTTCTGACTAAGATTTCTAACAACAGTAACTGTGAATTTGTGGCTAGGAATATGAACTGCTTCACGGTCATCACCTCTTATAACAGTTGGAGACCACCAACCAACATGCTGCAAAGGTTTATAAACATCAAATATAGTCTAAGCTAAACCATAAAAGAGACAAATTAAATATTGCGTTCTTGACTCAGCTAAACAGTAATTCATTTATAAATAAGTACTTCAACCGAAGAAAGTAATAAAAAAAGAACAGAACATGATGTTGATTAACCTGCAACTACAATATAATGCAATGTTTGAATGTATATGCAGCAGATAGTTCGTTTTGGAAGTAATGATGACGGTTGCAAATTGCATGCTTCATCAAAAATTTTAATTTACAGTAACCAACCTCAACAGTTCCGGAAACTTCATAGCCCTGGATCTTTGTTTGGATCCAGTCATTTATAATAAATGGGCGTGTGGCATGAATCATGACACTTGACAAAAAGTTGGTGAATATCTACATCACAAAATTATCCATATAGAGAAATGTTGAATATCCAACACAAAGGAAGATGATGTTTCTACGATACAACACCTCACGTCCGGCTAGGGTCAGTAATACTGTTCCTAAACCTCCAGCTGTTAGCCATTTTTGGGTTGAAAACCCCAGTAATTCCATAAACAGAGAAAACGCAGCAATCCACACAGCAGTGTACACAGCTCTCCAAGCAAATTGGAAACCCATCTGCATATAATGTGCTGAATTTATTAAATTAAGTTCAAGCTAGCATCAACAGTGGATCAACTAAGTTTAACATCAATATGTAGGTGTACTGAACAAAGCCACATACGGTTAAAAATAAAGAGACAAGCAGCCAGAGAAGAGAAAAACCATGATTGGGTATTATCCAGCGAGCAAGTAACTCCATATATCTTGAGAAAAAAAATGAGTGCAAGATCAACTGTAATTTGCAGAGGTGATGCCGCAAGAAAATAGGATTTATCTTAGAATTTACACACACACACACAATATATATATATATATATATATATATTTGGTTTAGAATGAACTTTACGGAGTAATGGCTCTCTTATTGTATTGGATGATGATATCTTAAAAACATTTATAAATTGTTAATTCGATGCTCACTTTGGAGCTAGTAGATGCTATCTAAAACTTCATCTGATTGTCTATTCTTGCCTTTGTATTCTAGGCACTTAGGCCGAGTCATAAAAAAAAGTAGAAATAGAGCCCAGATTTAAATTAAGTAATATTAATCATATTGAAAGAGTCATTAAAATAATCAATAAGAAATACCCATAAGAAAAACTAAGAAAAATTATTTTGACAATATGTTAATTCTAACCATGTATTGTTAACTTGTATATCTAAGCATGCGGATAATCAAAAGGAAATGATGACAATGTTATGGAAGATGGAGTACCACCAAATGTTATTGTAAATACTAATGATCTTGCTCAAATGATGACAATCAAAACTCAATGTCTCAATCTAATGGGACTAACAATAGCATCTGAATGGAAGGTCTACGAATTTCTCCCCGACCTCCTTACATATGCTATTTTCAACAGTTTGGATTTGTTTCCCACTATGCCCTTCTTTTATTGGGATAAGCAGAATATCATTCACATTGCAATGATGATTGGCCAACCACTTTAGATGGATGCTTACATAAGGATATGGGGAAGATTTTCTTATGCTCAGGCTTGTGCTCGGCTTGATCTTTCCCATAAATTGCCTATGGAAGTTTGGATTCAAGGCCTATTTAGTATGAGAGCATTACTTAGCTGTGTTTCAAGTTTGGCATAATTGGGCACAAAGCTCCTCAATGAAAACCCCAATCTGAGGGGCAAGAGGAAAGAGCAGATTAGGTGGGGGTTCCTAGCCACCAACAACATGAAGTTAGAACTTCCTCTCTCAGCCATGGTCCTGGTTTGCATGAAGAAGCCTCACATGCTACTTCTACGACTAATGCAGTCCACCACGAAATGGAGAGGGATTTACCTGTTGGCACGGAAGACGCCACAACCATGGCAATGGCCGAACCCCAAGGGGATTTGGAGACTTAAGGCCCTTCTAGAGATGGAGATTATGAACCTTGAGCCATTGTCACACGAAGGGTCTGTTTTGGGCAGTTGTAGCATATTAATAAGCTGCTGATAAGTTGCAGCAGATAAGTTATTAAGCAGCAGCTGGTCGGGATAAGTTGGTTAGCCGTTTGGTTTGTGTTGTTGGAAAGCAACTATTTTGCAGTTGTTTCTAGATAAATGACTATTCTATCTATGTGCAGTAATGTTGTTTGCAACTGAACTATCATAACAATATATTTGATACTTGAGAAACAAAAAACCACTTCATAGTTGATAAAAAATAAGATATACACCCCACTTAACAGTATCAAGATTGCTAAAAAAAGAAAAAAAAACTATTAAAATTATATTTAAAAATATGATAATATTAGTTTTAAAATACAGACGACGTATGTCACGAGCTACGTCGTCTTCCAGAGATATCATCCATTCTCAATCACTGTCTGCAGTGGAATTTGCAAACTGTCTGCACATCTGAAGAATTCACACTTATTCGTGATTCTTCGCGAACACCTGTAGAGCCGTCTTTCATAGTTATATGTCTAACTTGACGTCAATAAGGAAGTCTGAAGTCCACAGAGTCAAAGCAATACTTGAGAGGTCCCTGAAATCCTGGAGTTCATATTCCCTAAATGATTCAAAAGACAATTTATTAGTTATAACATAAGTATAAATTGACAAAAACAGTAATCAATTACAATTTTTTGTGCGCGCAAAGTCTCAGAGAACTAAGTACACCAACCTCATCGAACATGTCACAACAAAAAGACAGCAGACCTTACAAAATAGATGTTATTGGTTGTCTTTAGCTCACTTAATACAAAGCTCGTATGTGTCAAATATACATATCACAAAAAAAGACCATCCAAAAGTACTTCAAAAACCTCAGCATCGAAAAGAAAAGAGAAACTTGGTTGTAATTATCAGGATTTCACATGTGACACTAACCAACAACGATCAACAGACATCTAGAAGAACCTCAGAAACCCCAGCATCGAATAGAAAATAAGAACTTGGTTGTGACCATCCAGAAGAACCGACAGGGTCGAACGTCTCATCATGGATCTCACAAACCCACAAAAAAGAAACGAAAAGCAATCGAAAAAGAAAAAAAAATAATTACAAACAACATGAATCTTGCAATATCTAAAATATCAATAATACATGGAACATAAAATAAATAAGACCCATCTAACCAACTCTAACAATGGCGTCTGTAATTAGCTCTCACAATTCAACCATTTTTGTGACATCTTCGTCATCCTTCCTTATGAGATATCCCATGAAACAAACAGAAAAAAAAAAAGCCACTAAACAAAAAATTCACAAAATTAATTGTCTGTCTAAGGGTCGGGTTAAGGAGTTCAAATACGGCTTATCCCCATAAACTTTGGGATATGTTTCCAAAACTCGGAGAAAGTCGTCTATGGAGGTGTCACGTGAAGTGCCAGCCTGAATTGTGCACACATCAACCAGTTTTACCGTTTGGTTTTTGACAAAAGCAGCTCATTTTTTCTTTTTCTCCACCCTAGTACGCTTTGACCGGCATGTGAACTCTAGGTCCTTTTGTTTTAGGCTGGGGCCTTCACCGGACTCACATACCTGCTCGGTCTCCAAGTTTTCTGGTATGCTTGCAAACCCATGCTCACTTTGGGTGAACACATAAGTGTCTATTGCAACAACCCCACTAAACATATGATCCAACTTTTCCTCCAAGTCAGGGTGGCTGACACTACCAGCAACATACGGCCAAGTTTATTACTTCAAACAGCTTAGTAGGATAAAATAAGGAAAAACAAGTCTTCAAGGAATATGTTATTATCTCTAATTTCTGAGTCCACCATTTCTCTGAAGCATCAATACTCCGTTTGATTGGATCGCAACCCAAGCCCACGGATCTCCGTTTTAGTTCCTTACATAATTTTTAATTTTTTTTCAACTGATCTCACTTTTTCTTAAATTGTAACTTATCGTACTCCTTTCCTGTCATTTTATTGAACTTCTTCATAATATTTTGTCAACCTTCCATGTTAAAATAAGTGACGGATCTATTTCCTAGCTCAATCTCCTTAAAACACAGGTTGCAAAATATGTGTGACTTCTCTATCCCACATGGCTAATGAATTGACTTCTTTCTTTTATATTAACCAATGTGTTACTAAAAAAAAAAAAAGGAAAACATTAATATTTAAGATTAACCTAAAAATAGACATTAGCCACCACCCAACCACCAGCATAGCCACCACCCACCCCGACCCTATCCACCCAACCCCCAGCACAGCCACCACCCACCCCAGCACAGCCACCGCTCCACACCCAGCACTTCCACCCCCACCCCCAGCACATCCTCCATCAATCCCTAGCACAATCACCACACGACCCTCAACACAGCCACCACCCCACCCCCAGCACATGCACCACCCCACCATCAGCACATCCACCACCCAACACCCACAACCACCAAAAGAGCTACTCCAAAAAACCCTAAAAGCCCTCAAGAGGTTCTCCAAAAAACCCTCAAGAGGTTCAAAATGAAAAATTATTGCAAATGCTCTAAACGAGATGAAATTATAAAAAGACCCTTTTAGGCCAAAAATCTTCAGAATGCCCATAACCACAACCACAATGAACTACAACCCCTTCCCATATTTTATTTGAAGAAATTACATACAGGTCACCTCAATGAACCACAACCACAACCCCTTCCCATATTTCATTTGAGGCAAATAAACACCCACACCACACACACACCCACAACCACCATACACGTACTCACAACCACAACACACAACACTCAATCACAACCCACATAACACACAGCCACACACGCGCGCACAGCAACAACACACAGAGCACCCAACCACCATACACATACTCACAACCACAACACACAACACTCAATCACAACCCACATAACACACAGCCACACACACACGCACAACAACAACACACAGAGCACCCAATCATAGCCCAACACACACCCATAACCACAACACACAGCACCCAACTACAACCCACATCACACACAACCACACACACACACATCACCCAACCACAACCCCACACAACACACACCCACAACCACCACACACACACACACACACAACCACCACACACACACCCACAATCACAACCACAACCACAACAGACGACATCCAACCACAACCCACAGCCCACACCTCAATGAAGCATTTCCCCTCAATTTTAATTCAATGCAACTACATACAGACCAAACATTTTCATCTACAAATGAAGTACTCTTTCATCCATTTTTCAATTTATGGCTGAAGCATAAAAAAAAAAACAGTGTAGTATTGAAATGATGAAAATGCAAAAAGACCACCCGAAAGAATGTTATGAACAAACCAAGCACTCATTTATATCCAATTTTCAAATTTTCACACAAACATCAAAGGAATTGATGAAAACCCATCCAATATTTTTTCATTTGAGGCAATGACATACAGGGCACCCGAAAACTTGTTATCTACGAATGAGCACCCTCTACAAATAAGAATATGAAACCTTGCTATCGTCAAATCAAGCACACACTTTCACCAATTCTCCAAATTACATCCAAAGAAACGAAAAATTGCATAAAGAAAGTCATTCTATCGGAAAACCTCATACAAA